TGCTCTATACGCTAAGTTCATACCGTGGTAACACAACAAGAAAAACATAGGTGATTTGCTTTTCGCTGTATTTGTAAGCTGAAGCCATCCCTACAGGATGTTACTTGAAGGTTGGCAAAAGACTTCGTGAGAGGTATTAGCGATTAAACGATTACATACCCTTGGGACACCCCGTACATGTTGTGGATATCGAATTTCCGAATATTCGATGCTTCGAATTTTCGAATACTCAATTCTTACCGAATTTTCGAATATTCGGTGCTCATCGAATATTCGAATTTTCCATGGACATCGAATGATCGAATTAAAGACCATCGAATATTCGACTATCGAATAATATTCGAAAGTTGAGAATTTCGAATATTCGACTTTCGAATAATATTCGAAAATGAAAAGTTTCGAATATTCGACTGTCGAATATTATTCGAAATCTCAGATTTTCGAATATTCGAATTTTCGAATCATTCGCATTCGAATGATTTATTCAAATAATCGAATAATCATTCGATTCGGTACAAAGTATACTGTCTATGAAAGGCCAAAACACTAAGAACAAATTGTTTCATGTAAGTGCTAAGAATGGACACATTCTTATGGTACAATTTACGATGTAAAAACGGTTTAGTCGTGACGTGAAGAGACTTAGGAACTTGAAAGCTACTCCTGTGACGGTTGTGAAGAGATTTTTCGTACCCCAAAGAAGATTATATATCCTCACTGAGAGTTGCGATTGGATATACAGCGGTCCCAACAGTATGTAGAACTGTAGGCTGACGTCAATTTAGAGGCGATGGGGCGATTTATCAATCGCTTTTCACTGCTGTAAAATTACCGTAAGTCTGAAGCAGATTTCAATACATCATGAGCCATTTCCCCAAGAAAAAAGAATCAAAAGGGCTGAAAGTCTTGCTTTAGATTTCTAATGACACTCACTTTATGTAGAATTTGCACTCAACAGTAATGCTTTTTTTTCAAAACAACGCCAGGTATCCTGTGTCCCCGAAGTTCCCATGTGAGCCAGCGTGCGTACGTGGTGCGACGCTGCCTTTCGCTATTTTGAACGTGTTAATTTCGGGCTCCGTTGAAATCTCAAGACAAACGTGTCAAAAAGAGCGAAAGGCAGCGTCGCACCACGTACGCACGCTGGCTCACATGGGAACTTCGGGGACACAGGATACCTGGCGTTGTTTTGAAAAAAAGTGTTGTAGAGCCGTCCCTTATATTGGAACTTGCTCACTCACTATAGGCTAGATCGATATGGTCTCTGTGGTTGCGGCGTACCCGCCGCACCTTGATATCTTTGTGTGTGTTGTTCTCTTGTTATTCCTAGTGAACCCTCGGCATGTACGCCGATAGGCAGAGGGGGAACTCTTGTGTTTTTCTAATAAATTGTCAACGGCTCAACGCGTTCCACAACAACTGGCGATCAGGATCAAGGACAGGAAGACTCCACCATCAACCGAGGACGAGAAGAAGCTCCATCGCCGACTAAGGAGAAGAAGAAGCCTGCAATCAACTTCAAGGACAACTTCTCCAGATAAGTTCTATTTGACTCGTCGTTGCAGCGGAGCCATGCCGAAGGTTGCAGAAGAGCGGCATGCGGCGGATCTGGAGAAGGTCCTCAACGTCATGATGGAGCAGATGCGGCTTCAACAAGAAGAAGTTCGGATTCAGATACAAGCCCAGCAAAAACAAGTGCAGATGCAGCTGCAAGCTCAGCAAGAGCAAATGAGGACGCTGATCTCCGCTCTGGCCAGTAATCAGGGAGCCGTCCAAGACACCAGCAAGGATCAGTACGATCAGCTGAGTAAGGACGTGCAAAGGTTCGTCTCAGACGAAGAAACAGGTAACACCTTTGCGTACTGGTATGGCAGGTACGGACCGGTTATACGCGACTCCCAGCTTTCGGATCAGAAGAAGCGCGACTTAATCCTAATGAAGCTGGATGAAGAAGCATACCGGAAGTATGCTGATGAGGTCTTGCCTGCGCAACCGAGCGACTTGGACTTCGACACCACCGTCGCGAATCTCCAGAAGCTGTTCGCCTCCAAGAAGACGCTCATCAGGAGACGGTATGAGTGCCTGAGGATAACCTGCCATCCGCTTACTCCAGCGTACGTACCGTTCCGCGAGTACGCCAACACTATCAAGCGGATGGACGAGGACGCCCGGCTTAAGGAGGTCGACTACACGGCGATGAAGACGCTGCAGTTCGTAGCAGGTCTTCAAGATCCCTCGCTTAGGGAAGTTCGCCTTCGGATGATTCGTCGACTGGACGCTCACACGGACGAAGCACCGCTGACAATCGAGGACCTAGTCGCGGAATGTGAAAACTTTACTGCCCTGAAAATGGATAATACAGACATGGAAGGCACGCGAGACATCCATGCTGTATGGAAGAAAAAGGTAAATTGCTTCATATGCGGAGGACCACATTTCAGAAGAGAATGCCCTCAATCTGGCAGCACTGGTCGGAAGAAGCGACGAAGGACAAGTACAAAACACTTTTGTCGCAAGGGACAGTGCAAGAATGTGGTCGTTTTCGACGCCGAGAAGGCGCGGACTTATATCGACGTCGTAATCAAAGGATGTTCCCTCAAGCTACAGCTAGACACAGGTGCGGATATAACCCTGATTTCGCGAAGAGCCTGGAAGAGGATGGGATCCCCTGCTCTGGAACCCTGTGTATTGCCCGTGAAAACTGCAGGCGGGACGTCGATGAAGGTATATGGTAAATTCTCAACCGACTTTTCCGTCAGAGATCGAGTTACAGGGAAGATGCTTCATGGAAATGGCACATGCTATGTCACCGAAGGCTCGAATCTACTAGGACTGGAATGGTGCATCCAGCTGCCGGCATACAAAAAGCTGAAGGGCAACTTCCATTGCAGAAAGGCGACTAACGAAGAGAAAATCCGAGCCGAAGTGGTCGCCGACTCAAAGAATAAGTATGGAGAAGTCTTGAACAGCGACCTAGGAAAGTGCAGGAAGAGTAAGGGCATCAACAGAGACATCAAGCACTCAGTGCGCTGCTGTAGGGATTGTCAAGAAGCCTCCAAAATGCCAATGAAGACGTTGCTGCATTCATGGAAAGTAGAAGACAAACCATGGAATCGACTTCACATTGACTACGCAGGGCCGCTGAATGGTAAGATGTATCTCGTCGTAGTTGACGCTTACTCGAAATGGCCAGAAGTTTTTGAGATGCCTTCATCGTCAACTACAGCTACTCTCAGAAAACTCAGATCTCTATTCGCACGATTTGGAAATCCGCAAGTGATCGTGTCGGATAAGGGGACGCAGTTCACAACAAAGGAGTTCCAAGATTTCTGTGAAGAGCGAGGAATCAAGCATATGCGTTCACCTCCATTCCATCCACAACCAAATGGACAAGCGGAGAGGTTTGTGGATATCTTCAAAAGGACCTTCCAGAAAATTAAGAAGGGAGGAACGGCAGAGAAGCTCGCGGAGTTTCTGCAGTCTTATCGACGAACGCCTTGTGCAACTGCTCTAGGACAACGTTCGCCTGCCGAGCTGCTCCTGGGACGTCAGATAAGGACACCACTGTTGCTGCTCAATGAAGATTCCAAAGAAGAGGGAATGGGCAATAAATCTATGGAGAAGCAGTTCAACCGCCGTCACGGAGCACGAAAGAAATCGTACCAGCCACAAGAAGCCGTGTGGGTACGTGAATTTCGCTCTGGATGTGAAAAATGGATTCCAGCACGAGTGAAGAAACGATATGGAGAAGCGCTATATGGCGTGCTCACGGAAGACGGTCAGTTATGGAGACGACATGCGAACCAGATGCGCCGCGCAGCAAGTATGGATCGACATCACGACTCAACACAGTCCATCCCCGACGAAGGCCGACTTAACAATGCTATGGATGCTGCTGAACGCAAGCCACCTCGTCTACGCCACCGACATCAACCAGACCAAGTCCATCGTCGCCCACCAGAACGTCTACAAGTAGATCCTTGTTATAAGATGTACCGTTGTTCATCTTAGGAGGGAGGTGTTGTAGAGCCGTCCCTTATATTGGAACTTGCTCACTCACTATAGGCTAGATCGATATGGTCTCTGTGGTTGCGGCGTACCCGCCGCACCTTGATATCTTTGTGTGTGTTGTTCTCTTGTTATTCCTAGTGAACCCTCGGCATGTACGCCGATAGGCAGAGGGGGAACTCTTGTGTTTTTCTAATGAATTGTCAACGGCTCAACGCGTTCCACAACAAAAAGCATTACTGTTGAGTGCAAATTCTACATAAAGTGAGTGTCATTAGAAATCTAAAGCAAGACTTTCAGCCCTTTTGATTCTTTTTTCTTGGGGAAATGGCTCATGATGTATTGAAATCTGCTTCAGACTTACGGTAATTTTACAGCAGTGAAAAGCGATTGATAAATCGCCCCATCGCCTCTAAATTGACGTCAGCCTACAGTTCTACATACTGTTGGGACCGCTGTATATCCAATCGCAACTCTCAGTGAGGATATATAATCTTCTTTGGGGTACGAAAAATCTCTTCACAACCGTCACAGGAGTAGCTTTCAAGTTCCTAAGTCTCTTCACGTCACGATTAAACCGTTTTTACATCGTAAATTGTACCATAAGAATGTGTCCATTCTTAGCACTTACATGAAACAATTTGTTCTCAGTGTTTTGGCCTTTCATAGGCAGTCTCAATGACGTGAATTATTCGGTCAGTATTCGAAAATCGAATGATATTCGAAATTCGAATAACGAATGATATTCGAAATTGGAATATTATTCGATTCGAAATTTTCATTTTCGAATAATATTCGATAATCGAATATTCGAAATTTCCGATTTTCGAATCATATTCGATAGTCGAATATTCGAGAATTTCGATTTTCGAATATTATTCGATATTCGAATATTCGAAAATTTCAATTTTCGAATATATTCGATATTCGAATATTCGAAAAAAATTTCGAATTTCCCCAAGTATAGTGTCCACATATACAAGACGCTTAGCTTCCCCACTCGTTGAAGCGAAGTACGATACTTTATTACATAAATCTCTACATAAATACATCTACAAAGAGAATCTACACATCTAATAAAACAGTGTACGCTCGAGAGGGTGGCAACTAATACAACGAAACATTAGGAAACCACAACTTTTATTGGGAGCGAAGGGGCCGGGGCGTCGCACTTTAGGCCTTCGTGGCAACGTACGCGATGAGGTCAACAACACGGCATGAGTATCCGAACTCATTGTCATACCTGGATCGAAACATATAGTCAAAAAAAAAACAACTGATATAGTCAATTCTGTGAAATACTCACCATGAGATAAGCTTGACGAAGTTGGGGTTGAGAGAGATGCAAGCTCCGGCGTCGAAGATCGAAGAGTTGTGGTCACCGACGAAGTCAGTCGACACAACCTGGTCCTCTGTGTATGCCAAAATGCCCTTCATTGAGCCCTCAGAGGCTTCCTTGATGACCTTAAACAGATAATTCAACTCAAGAATTGAAAGGTAACACAACAGACCTTCTTGATGTCATCCATCGAAGCTGGTTTCTCCAGACGGCAAGTGAGATCGACTACCGAGACATCAGGAGTTGGTACACGGAAGGCCATTCCAGTAAGTTTTCCGTTCAAAGCTGGGATGACCTTGCCGACAGCCTTGGCAGCACCAGTCGATGCAGGGATGATGTTCTGGCCTGCACCACGTCCATCACGATAGTGCTTTCCAGATGGACCATCGACGGTCTTCTGCGTTGCTGTCGTGGCGTGTACAGTGGTCATAAGCCCTTCGATAATTCCGAAGTTGTCATTGATGACCTTGGCGAGTGGGGCCAGACAGTTGGTGGTGCAAGAAGCGTTACTAAAACAACACGTACTCTAGTGAGTATTCAACAAGCATTTAGTGATGCGTACCTAATAATGTGATCGTTAGCGGCATCGTACTTTTCGTGGTTCACACCCATTACGAACATTGGTGCATCTGCAGATGGGGCTGAGATGACGACCTGAACAACATGATTATGAAAAATAATAAATGCAAATTCTTAACAAACGGCTGCACCTTCTTAGCGCCTCCTTTCAAGTGAGCAGATGCTTTCTCAACCGTGGTGAACACACCAGTAGATTCAACAATGAATTGCGCTCCATCAGCTCCCCAAGGAATTTCAGCGGGGTCTTTGCTGGAAAAAAATGTAATGTACATTCGTCTGAAGAGAGAATAATTAGCTCGCAGCCCCCTCGATAGTTTAACCTAACGATCTCTTTATGGAAGAAAAAATCTGGTTACAGCTAATCCCCGTCAATCTGTGCACTGACATTCACAGCAAATCCTCTGGCTGCAACTATTCTCTGGTTCTCTCTCAAAGTATACATTCTGCAGTGCATGATAAGAAGCACAGGTTAAGCAAATAACTTGTTGGTAAAGAAATCCTCAGCCAGCAGAGAGAACAAATCTTAGCATAGCATCTTCAGACTCTCAGCCAGTGCTCACCTGCACTCAAAACAACAGTTATGGCGAACACCTTCACCTCAGATGCAAACTTTGACCAAAGTGCATTTTTGGGACATGTTCCCGATAAGACCAGATTTGCATCACAGTCAAATGCACAGAGGACGAACAGATTACGAAATATTTTCGATGGCAGCAAACAGATTTGTGCAGATATTGTGTAAGCCGATGAGGGCACGTGAGATTGCAAGCGTACTTTGAAACATTCTCTCATCTACCACTTGTCACGACATCGCTTACGAAACACTGCAGTTCCTTAACGCTTCACCAAAATTCGATAACCACCAATTTAAACCACCTTCCCAAGTAAGCCTTACAATGAAGTTGTTTAACACTCGCACATTAGTCCGACCCCCTAGTCTTGGTCTCCTTTCTTGTGCGGAGCAACTGTGCTGCCAGTTGCTTGGTCTAGTGCAGCTGTCCGCAAAAAACGAAAACGGCTGCCGCCTTTACAGCACTGACCATAACCCACTAGCTTCAGTCAATAAATCATATCTAACCTGTTGTGAACCTTGATCGTGTGTGTGCTCTTGCCTGCACTGCTCACCACCAGGCAGCCATTTTCGTGTTTGACGTCCCCCTTGAATCGGCCATGGGTGGAATCGTATTTGAAAAGGTATACCTGGAGCACAAAGCTACAGATCAAATGCAAAAACCTCGAGTAATCACTTGTTATAATTACTATTCCCTTGATCACAAAAAATAGACCATAACTTTTATAGTCTGTGATGACTAGCGCGCAAAAGTTCAGTCTCATTTTTAAACTAGCAATGCTTGATCCTTTTCTGCTGCTTGCTCGCCCTTCGTTATTTCACCTAAGCGTGTATTATAAATATCATGAGTCATGGCGTAATCACGAAAACGCAAGTGCAAAGCGACTTATATTGTGGCATTACTGCTGCGATTATGACACCATAAACTGCAAAACATATCATTTCTAATAATGATTTTTTCAAAGTCTATCCCTCCGACTCTGATAGGGCCATGAATACATGCGGGCATGTGATTAAGATAAACTGTATAAAAGAGTATCTTTTACTGATTAGTGACAAAAATTCTGTCCAAAGATGAACAATGTGCGAAATAACGTTCACACCTCGCTGTCACTTACTGCCACCAAAAACAGGACAATTGACGCTGGGTAAGGCAGGCGCCATACTTGATCCGCCCCACTATTGGTTAGTTCACTGAACTGACCAATGATGAAGCGGATCAAGCAATCAAGTATGGCGCGTTCCTAATCTAACTTCCCCTTTGGATAGATTACTATAACTTCACTGAAGCGGTTCAAGAAGGGGAACGAGACTACCTAATGGCAGTCTTACTGACTCATCCATAAAGGATAGACTACGACTATGCAAAACCGAATCTGTTTAAGAAAATCGAGCTTATAAAATTCTAGAGTTTTCGCTCACCATGTACTCCAGGTTGATGAAGGGATCATTGACAGATACCACTTCAACGGTGTCCTTCTCGACAGCAGCGCGAAGTACCAGACGGCCGATACGGCCAAATCCATTGATTCCAACCTTTGGCTTGCTCATTTCGGAAAATAAGGGCTGAAATTGAAGCAGTTAGTTTTGAAAGGTGCTAACTGCCGAGGCTATCAAGTACGATCCAGCAGTATGTAGAGCAATGAGATCATTTGATACAGATAATTAAAGAGTAAAGCATCCCTGCATCATTCTGATATGTTCTTGTGACGATTCAGCTTTTACTTTGACAATCAAGAAGACATCGAGAAGTATGTTCATGTGGAAAATTTTGATTCAATTCAATTCAAAATTCACTGATTCCTCGATAATAGCCTGCTGTCATTTAGAATGAAAAGGAGATTAGCAAACACCCAAGTGCGGACCGCCAAAATCACATAATCCTCCAATTTGCGCCCTTCTAGCCAATTCTATAATCGCCTTCAAGAATGGACGCTGTGCCGTCAATCAGTATAGAGACCCTGGTCCGCCCTATGTAGCAGTGCCTCTCTATTATTTCGAATAAAACTAATAATTGAAACAGAAATTGCGCATATGCAAAAATTCCTACAATATGAGATCAATATTTACTGGAACGGCATGAGATGCCTTACTCTTTAATATAATAGCCTGAATCCACATCGTGAGTATAAATAGAAAAACTGAGGCAAACCAAATCTAGCACTGCTCCCATGACTTGAATAAGTTAGAGTGCTTGTACTGTATAAAATCTTGAACAACGGATATAATCTCTTGATTATGAAAATAGTATCAACGTTTACTGATGATGTCAGCGTCGATAGATGGAGCTGAAGATATCTGGTACTAGTGAATGCACGAGGATACACTCGATAAGTGTAGCAACAAGCCTTGAGGTGCTGCGACGCGAGGTGAACAGGACGAAGTGAAGGCACTCTGAGCGGGCAGAAATTACATAAAATGTGTGTTGGAAAGGTATTTATGAAGATGGAGTGCGTAGGGAAGGTAGCCCTGACCTCAGCAGAACATTCAAAAACGTGGAATGCATTGAAACTAGCAGATTCTGGGCCCTGGACGTGGCAGCGGAAAAATTGCGTCAGTCCCGGGCGAAGACCGATGGTGAAATGGCAAACGAACGGCTCGCGGCGCAAAAAGCGCAGAGCCCGCCTACCGCGGGGGGCTGCGATGCCGGATCGATGCGGGCTGAGAAAAGAGCGAAAAACGAAAACGATTGCGCAAACTGCCATCAACTGCACACCAGAGGTTACCAGAAAGATGACAACTGTTGTCAGTGGGGAACATTGTCAGGCTTTGTCATAGAATTTTCTGGAGAAGTCCGCCATTTGTCCGCTGATCGAGCCTTCCAAACGCATCCATGTCGCAGATCTACTTAACCTACGGTAAGAGGTGATCGCTCGATATAGGCAATGGAAACAAAATGAACCTCACCGGGAAACCTAGCGCTTAAATAGGAATCAATCGACATTCTGGAATGAGTTTTTGAACGTCAGGTTGCGTAATGTGGAAGGGCTTTACAAGTCAGAATCGATTTGCACTCCGGTGGGGGAAAAACGGCCCATTTCATTGCGATCCCAGGATTATGCATTTCCAGTATTTCGCAACAAAATGCACACCTTCCCAACGCAACAACACATGTGTGCACGGTTGTATATTTTATGTAAGCTTATTGCTAATGTGTGCAATTGCACATTCTCCAGAATGTTGTCGATGAGCAGGTCTCTTAGCTTAGGAATGCATGGCTCTTGACCAAAGATGCTTCCAAACAAAAGTGTCCCTCATCAAAGAAGAACAAGTAAGAAGCAAGGGAAACGTTTGAATTTACCGACATCTTGGAAATTGTGCGGTTGCACACATTAGCAAGGAAAGCTATACACGATTCATGACACGCAAAGACTGGGCGCCGTTGCGTGCGGCCAAGACAGTTCGTGCCTGGGAGAGACAGCAGATGGTAAGAGAAACGAAAGAGCACTAGATCAGTGAGACGCCGATAAGTCCACGGTCTTTGCGTGCTATGAATCGCCTGTGTCTGAGTGTACAGTCCGTGTCAACCATGGGCTTCCTTTTCTGTAAGCGTAATGAGCTTTGCGCCACGTTCGCGCGCGTCTGGCTCGGCATTAAAATTGGCCTCATCGATTGGGGTCCGCACGCAGGGCCCTTGCGTTGCGCATGCGTAGTTCCTATGCGAAAGGGAGTACATAATTGACATTGACTCTATGATCCCAGAGATTATTGCGCAAACTCCAAAAAATATCGAATGAATGCTTTTGCCTGTAACTCTTTTCTACAAAGAAGTTCGATTATTTTCTCGCAAAGTTATTTTACAAGAACCCGAGAACATTTAGTAGGCAAAACTTGCTTTGTCTAGAGCGTCTGGAATGATGTTTTATTACACTCACTAGCGTGCAATTTGCAATGCAAAAACTGCAAAAAAACCTTTGCAGACGAGATGTCTGCCCTTATCTCTGCATTGGATCAGTCTGTTGAAAAAAAAACACAGTTCACAGGTGAAAGGGCAACGACTTAGCGTGAGATTGGGGAAGTATAAGCCTATCGACAACCTCACACCTTTATGTTACATATAGAACTGGATCGGAACAAGTCTCATATATATCAAAGTAAATTTGTTGAAGAATTCAGTGATTACATATTGCAGGAAAAGAACGAATAAATGGATGGTGAATTAAGTGAAGTGTACTAGACTCTCATAACCTACGCGGTCGAGCTCTCTTATATCCACATTTGATAATTAAATCAAGTTCTTAATCGCTTTAGCTTTTTCATGGACGCAGAGCTACCCGGTGCCCCTCCATTCCGGAGGATTCGAAAGTTCGCATGAACTCTATGTGGACAGGGTTGTTTACTTTTAAGCCCTCTGCCGCCATAGCATGTTATTCGGTGTCAATTTTCGTGCGCTCTTCCGTTTTGTTTTCGACAGTGTTAAAAAGCAGCTGCAATGCGTAAGCAGTGCATTGAATTTGTTCCAGAGCGCACTACGTACATATCCTCTAGGGGGTTCAGTGCTAGGGACCCGTCATACTTCGCCGAAAAAAGCCCAAAAGCGTCAAGTGAGCCGGAACGTCCCCTCGCAAGTTTCGGCGCTAGGGTTGCGTTGTGTTTGCAAGGCGGTCCTTTCATGTGATTATTCTTCAAACCTAGTTTCTAGTATCCCATGTTTCCAAAAGTAATGCTCCAGCGCCAGAAGTTGCGCTCGTGAAGTTAGCGTTCTGGCGCTTTCGGGCGTTTTTGGGCTTTTTCGGACTTTTTTGGGCTTTTTTCGGCTTTTTTTTCGGCGAAGCATGACGGCCCACTGTAGTTTGCGCGCGGCAGACATTTTTACAGCGTTTCTTCTGTGCTTACAGAAACAACTGAAAATCGCTAGTTTAGCTTCTTAAATGTCGTATTGTAGCCATATTACTACGCAGACAGACTTACTATTACTACGTTATCGCAGACAGACATGACTAATATCTGCCACAGGTTTTTCTCATCACATCCCCATTCGAAAATCTGAACAGCGCGTAGAACGTTCGCGAAAACATTGTTCGAACGTGGCCGTGCCTAGGTGACCAGAGTTCGATTTCGGCAGCGCTATCGATTTGGTTGCGAGAATGGGGCACAATCTGCACACTGCGCCAAAGTTCATGTGTCGATTCCGCTCCAATAAGTGAAAAAACAGGGAAGAGGATGTTACACTTGAATGAGCGCCGCAATTCGGAGCTCGTTTCCAGCACGTAGGAGATGCTGAGGGGCTTTCTCACCTCCTAAAGGTATTAGTAGGAAGACATGAACCTGTCCGAACTCGAATCCGCTCCCATTGTCCCAGAAAAAAAATGATCTTTTGTAGTTCTTTGACAAACCATTGAAGCATGATAACGTCAAACTCAAACAACGATCACATCCGGCCTTTTTTTTCAGCATTTTTAGTTCCCATTTCTTTACAAATGTCTAGGGCGTCGCCATGCAGTAATGATTAGCGTTATCAGCATGCTAATTGTCCACAAGAGCCCGCCTATGATAAAAATTTGAATAAACTGCTGGACAAAACAGGGCACGGTCGTCTTCAGGGATTGTAGACGCGCAAGTGTTGTTGGCGCCGCAGCGACATTACTTCAGCACTCAAACTGCGCTGTGTGCTTGTACATCGCTGTTTTACTTCTGACAAGGTCGATTTTTTGCGCAATATTTGTCTACGATTCACGTTGTTCAAATGTCTGCAATCAACTGTGCAAGAGGGAAAAAAATCCAGCATGTGTGTTCCGCTTTGCAAATCTATCTCAACCAGTTCTTGGTAGTTATAAGAAAGTTGAATGAGGGGCTCCATGTCAGGAGTCACGCCGCGCGCCGCGCCGCTTCGCCGCGCACGTCGCGTCTAAATTTTGTACCCCATAAAACTGCCCGGTGTTGAAGTGGCACGGCGCCAGTCTAGGGGGATGGGGGGTAGGGGCAGATACATGGCTCGTGCCATAAGTAAGACTGCGCCAGGAGTGCTGGCTTCTGTTTTGCTGACATCGCTTGCGGCATCGCTTCGCGAAAAATTCGCGCCGCCGTGACTCCTGACCGTTCCCCGAATGAGGGCAGTTACGCTCACCACCTTGTGAAAAAGACCGGCCTCTCATGATACTAAGAACGAACTCTTGACTAACCAGAGAGAGAGTGCAGTGCCGATAAAATGTAAACGGGTTACTGAATGGGTAATCTATCGAGAATGAATGGAGATGATTGGATTGTTCGCCCAGGTAATGGCATGAGCTTATTTCTGCCATCATGTAAGGCTGCGAGGTTTATTGCTTTGCGTCACTTCTCAAGAAAAACATAATCAATCTTCTATAGCGTTTGTCTATGTCCTCAAAAATAACAAGGGTAACGCGCTGGCCTGGAAATATTTTTTTGTAGGGAAGAAAGGGCATTAGTGTGAGCAAATCTTGCTTCACGTTGCTTGAGTATTGCTTTTACTTCACATTACAAACCATTGGTATTCATAAATTAAAAGTGCATTCAAGCAGCTGACACGCAGTTATCATGCTGGTTATGAGAAAGCTTATCTCATGTATAGTGTTCTTGCGATATTGGCAACATTCTGCACGAGAAAATAACCATAAAGCAACTGCGTATGTGGCTGTGTAAATCATTCTTTATACGCATATGTTGACGACATGACAAGTAGGGCAATTTTTTTCGAGCAAGTGTTGTCGTCACCGCAGCAACACTCTCTCAACCGTAAATCTACTAGCAAGCTTAGAAATTCGGAATCTTGCTCTTTAAGTGCGCAACTTTACTGGAGGAAATTTCTGCAGGGTTTTTTCTACATGGTCTCTCATTGCTACAGCTTTATAGAGACCAGTGCGTCACCTCTGCTTCGCAGAGGCTCGCACTGGCCCTACTATCTATGTGCCTTACTCATTCTCGTAAAATCGTGGCACTGGAACTCACCGCGCTATGCCGACTACCACGAATAAAATGTAAACAACCACTCATTTAGAAAGTTTTTTCACGTGAGATCGGTGATTTCGCGTGAATGAAACTTTTCGTAGGAAGACAAACGCAAATTTGAATAGGTTTTTGGATTTGTCATGGCTTGGTAATCGCCATAGAGGTAATAGTAACCGTGAGCTACATCTCTGTGCGAAAATCTTCTCAAAAGCTTAGCTAGAACCTTGGCAAATTGACCATTTACACAACCAATTCTTTTTGGCGCCGTTTTCGTTATGTAGTAAACTTTCGACCACTTTTCGGGCTAAACTTCATCGTTTGCACATTTACTTACCAAAGTCATCCACGACTCTGCAAAAAGTGGTGATACGGACCCAATTTTGCGGGATAGAAGCCAGGTGGATCCGTTTGGCGCGCAGTTTCTGAGGGATCCACTCAACGAATCTACTCGTGCTTTTGCACATTGGGCTTTCATGATGGTAGCATGCGTTATGCAAAATTTGAGCTCAAGACGTTGGCTGGAAACTGCTCTACGAATTTCGTAACAGACACACTCTCACACAGACAGACACACAAAGTCACGTAAACATCCTTAGCCCGTTATTATAAGTTATGATAGTGCTTTTATAAATGAGAGCTTCATGGACAAGGAAGATGTCAAACCGAGTCCTCGCTCTCTCAGCCTGCTTGCGTAGGTTGAGCGGCTGGACGTTTGTCAAGTGCAAATGCGCAGTGCGTCGACATTCTTCGCTTCTTGCAGTTATTACACACGCTGAGGTTATGCAGTAAAACTGGCAGCCTTCAAGGACATGAAGAGACATATTTCAATTTTTTAACTCTGGGATAGAGTTCTGCTATCGGCCAAACTTTCATCGAACAATCCAAGCAGTGAAAATCCTTTTAAGACACGCTTTTAACCACTTTCATCCGCAAAGCATATAGCATCTTTTCTTGCAGGTCTGGAATGCGGAAATGCATCAGTCCATCCATTTTCTCGTTTTTTGCTCCAAGAAAGAATCTGCTCTATAAAAGGAAGGAACTAGCAAGAACTGAACTATTAGCTGCAACATTGCAATCATTTTCTTTTGCAGAAGCTGAGTCATTTATCAAACAAAGAGGAAAAACAGAAACAAAGTGTGCGTTGACTTTGAAGATTGTGAGATAAGCAGGGGAAGTTCGAATAATCTATAGACTAGTACGTCATTGGACACAGAGAACAAAAGGAAATGCTAAGGAATGTTTCTTTTATCGCATTCGTCTTCTATCATGAAGAGGTCTTGGAAGCAATAGAGCTAATAAAGTACGGGAACTTGTAAACTCATTCGTAGGAGAGAGCTTTTGACTTTTGTCCGGCACCATACTCGAGGATGGTCTAGGAAAGTACGGCAGTGGACGAGTAAATCCATTTGTAGGAGAGAAAGCTTTTGACTCTTGCCCGGTATCATACTCAAGGAGTGGTCTAGGAAAGTACGGTAGTGGGCAAAAGTTTAGAGTTCAATAAACTGTCTTGAATCAAATTGTATGAGCTGTATCTGACTGTGAGATAGTGGCTTACTTACAGCTCTCACAAAGCTTCGACATAAGAAATACTTCTACCCACATTTCAAAGGGAAACTAAAGGAAAGAGGGGAAAGAGAGCATTTTTTTTGCAGGTGTGCCCTTTCAGTTGTCTAGCCGTAATCGTCATCGACGGGACCTTGACGTTTGGCCTCTCTATAGAACAATATTAGCTCTAGACATCAATTATATCAATCGTCACAACATATTTCAATATTGCATCAAAAGGTTAAATTGAGTCGGATGGAAAGGGAAGAGGAAAAGTCAAGGGGCGGAGGGGGGTGGGGAAGCTGCACATGGGCACGAAAAAATGAACATGTGAACAGTTCTGTTTAATACATTTTCATTCTAGGAAAAACATACCACCCCATTTTTTATATGCGTACCTCAATAGCGGTTGTGCTTCTACTAACCGCTTTTGATCCTATCTTCACACTCAAATGTTTTTCGTGTAGGTTTATTACAATGATCGCGTTAACCCCGTAGTGCTCCGATTTCTTCCCGATCAAAACAAGTTTTTTTTGTTTACTGTTTCACTAGAGGTCGGTCGCCTGTCAGAGGGTAAAACAATTTTTACCGCTGAGATTTATATGCTGGGGTTGCAAGATGCAAGTATACCAATTAATTTCGGCAATAAATGAGAAGCATGTGCTCACGTTCAGTGCATAAAAAATGATAATAGGTCACTGAGTATCTAGAACAGATTTTTAGATTAATCCAAAAATAATTTCTTGTTTGCTTTGCCAATTAGTATTCGTCAAAATTTAACAAGTTTTAGATTTCGATTTAGAAGTATGTATTATTTAGACTTTGATACCGAAATGTGGATTCAGACCTTGAATTAAGCAATTCATAACTGGGATGTGAAGACTGCGAAATTTTCAATCAAATGCTTGCCAAAATTTTCCAAAGCAATCTCAACTTTTTTGTACAATTCTTCTTGTATCTTTGCGCCACAGTCGCGCATCTACTTTTGTTTGCGTTTTGAAGATCGAACATCGAGGACATACCAGTGGTGACCACTCCCTTTGTCCCTTTTGGAGGTTCTTTCATTGCATCTGGTTCAGATGTTGTGTTCCAGCGAGGAGCCCTGGCCTAAATGCTGAAAACAATGTATTCGAGCTTTGGTTCAGAGAAAAAAAATATGAAGTTGAACCGGAAGTTCTGTCGCACCATTTTCAAAAACAGCAACTTATTCCTGTCACGATGGTCTTGCAAGGCAAAAATACCACTAGAAAGTAAATATGTCCTTTTTAATGACATTTTCCTATTCTCAACTATGCTCTAGTTGTATAAAAATGAAAAAGGATCCTATCGCGCAGTTCCAATTTTTAAGGGGCTTGCCTCAAACCACTAAAGCTCAAGATCTCGTTTTTCCATTTTTATCTCTCCGTCCAGAGTATAAAAGAGAGTAGGAAATGTCTTTAGAAAGTACATGATTTACTCTTTTTAATAATAAATTTGCCATACAAGCTATCGCGACAGGAAGAAACAATTTTTTGAAAATGATGATAACTTTCTGTTCAACCTAACATATCACAATCGGTAGTTTGAACATCCATGCACAGAGTTTATCATAACATTGTGGGCTGGCAGCTTCGGCGTTTTTATAGAGGAAAATGATGAGCAAAAATTTGGACACGAGATTTTTTGTTAAAGTCATTAGCTCTGTGAATGCTTACGGTCTTTACCAGTGTGATGGAAATAAGGAATACCGGCGTTGAGGTCAAACAGTTAAAGTTTGCACTTTTTGGGCTACTCTTTTTTTTTGCGTCATTCCTACCCACATATTCAATTCTTTGCCATCTGCAAGTTAAGTGTAGAACACCTTGGTAAAAGAATGAATAGGCTCTTACCTACATGTTTGTCTATGAAAAATTAGCGCAACGGGTTCCGCCGGCTGCCACGAGAATACAATAGATTGTCGTTTTTGAAGGCAAAAAAAAAGAGAATGAGCACCGTGTATACTTGTCTATACATGTTATACGTGTTTTAAGGCATCGTCAATGATTTATGGACAAGTTAACACGGGGCCACCATTTACATGCTCTAACATGATCTTACCATGGCGGGGAATTTGAAACTTTGTTTTGCTGGCACGTTGCCAGCCTGTCGGCTAGGCTAATATTATACGAATTCATATTTTCCTTTTCCTTCTCTCATACTGTAAAATACGTTTATGCACATCTACAAAGCAATAACAACAATCATAGATTAGTCACGCAAAAAGTGTGCTGTGGAAATCTCATACTTGTGGAACTTGAGACTTGCCCTCGGTCAAGCTGTGAAGGTCTGAGAAAAAGTTAGGGGAAATGGAAAACTATAATATTGTTTTTGTAACGCAGAAAATACTGGATGTTTTGGCATAACATAAATAATGACCTCATAGTTTATAGAAGAACATGTGATTCTAGAGTAGTAAATTCGAATCCCAATTGAGGTCCTATGCTTTCTTTTTTTGCTTACTTTGGTATTTATCTGCTTTCTGTTGAATAGCTCTCATTTAGTTGCCAGACACGAGTTGAAGCTTGAGGATATTTTCGATTATGGCCTGGTCGAATGCCCGAAGACGTCTATTGGATGCTTGTAGGTTTTTTTTTACATTCCTCGAAGAGTTTTGCACAAGGAAAACCTAGAAACCTTTATGATTGTCCAGGTAGTTGAGCAAACCTTTAGAGAAGGTTATTGCGTGCGCAGCTTGTAGAAAAACGCAAATAACACAAATGCTTGATGTGTGCAGGATGTATAAAATTTCTAACGTTCTCACCAACCTTTTCTTTGAGTTTCAGCACAAATCAGTGAGAGCAAAGAGAAAACTGAGGCAAGGAGAGGAAGGCTTGATTACTGTGATATCTCCGTTCAATGGAGTAAAAGCGCAGAGAGATGGTTGAAGGAAGTACAATAATTGACTCTGTAATGATTTTAATCAAGCACATAGAATTTTGCATTTTGGTATTTCCCGTTACATCCCATTTTCCCCTGCTAGATACTTTTCTAGCATTTTTTTTTCAAGGGAAACCTATTTTCTCGAGTGATGCAGCTCGATTTTATCTAGTAAATCAAAAGGCAGGTACTCATACAAATTTGTACAACTGAAATTTGTAGATGGCCGTTGCCCTAGCGAAAACTCATATAACACTGATAACCGAGAAACTCAGCCCTAAACTCCCACCCAGCACCGTAATAGCTCCGAGCGCACCAATCAGCGCGCTCGGGTACGGTACCGGACGAATGCTCAGAGCTGCATACTTCGACCACGAGTGCCAAATTAATGAGTTTCAGCCTTGGTTTCAGCTATTACCCTCATTGGCAATGCTTTGAAAAGAAATGTGGTGTAGCTTATTCTATTACTGGATGTCTAAATAACCCGAACCTGTGCATTGTAAATTTAAACTAAAATAAGTTTGCCCCAATTCCCACAACCTTCTAACAATTTCTAGACAAACAAAACCGCCACGAAGCTGAATGATGTTGCTCGCTGCTGTTATTATTCTGGTTGTAACTATGCGGTAAGTTCAGGTAACCCACCACTTGGTAACAGGATAACCGTAATCTTTTCAGCTCTACAAATATCTTACGGCTCTCAACGACTCAACACCGGTACACGACTTCAAGGACTGCGATCAATCCATGAAGTGTGATGAGACGCCGGTCACATCGACGACAACTTCTGACCAGTTTGTTACTGCACCAACTGTAACGTACAGTAGCCAGGAAAGTAGTACGATTGTGACGCGGACAAGCGGTGTAATCAGTAGTAGCACACCCGGTTCAACTGACACTACAAACACTCCGACTGCGACTACGCTCACTAGTTCAAGCGAAAGTAATCTTGCTACATTCCGCCGCCTGAAGATGTTGAGAAGGATGAGGAGGTCGATGGTCGTTGAGAAGGATGATCTACTTCATTATTTTAAGAATTAAACTTTGGTTATATTCTAGTGTCCATAACGTGTGTTACGGTAAAGCTTTAACTTCACCTTTTTCCCATTCCGACGCTACAAATCACTTTCCTTCTTCGCAGATGGGTCCTGATTTTTTCAACAAAATACCGTCCTGATATTTTTTACTGCAATGCTGGTCTCGCATTTCTTCGGGAACCCAATGAAATCGGCGCAGCTGAAGAAAATATACGGTCAGTAAAATGTTCGGCAGCTTTTAACTGTCTGCCGTTGCATATCCTTGTTGATAATGAAGGGTTCAAGCTTCCTACATGAATTATCTAAACTTCAGAATTTCCCCGTTGATAGCCAAGATTTGGAATGAGCATTTGATGATGTCGCGAAATTTTTGAAACTTACTCATATGGGTTATAAAAATGTGCAAACGACTTGTTTATTTTTGTAAATAATTAAAATATTATTTGAAATTTTTTTTTTAAATTCAAATTAGCGGGGCGTGGCTGACTCCATAGCCCCTTTTTCCAGGTTTTAGGGGTTGGGGACCCGCAAAAATTTTGAGAAGCACGCCAAAAGTTTTTTCGGAGTGCGTGGCTAACGCCACGCACCTTCATTTGAAAAAAGAAATTTTTCCGCGCCCCCCGGTCGAAATCTGCGACCGCCACTGATATAAAGCTGTCTGTCTGCCTGTCTATCTGTATGTCTGTATGCCTGTATGTCTGTATGTCTGTATGTCTGTACGTCTGTATGTCTGATGTCTGTATGTCTGTGTGTACGTATGTTCCAAATAGAAAATTCCATTTCTGAACCGATCCGGACCAAACTTGTCACACATGCACTTAGGGGCGGGGCGGGTGTCATAGGCTACTTTTCATCATTGATCGAAATCGATTTTTTTGCAAAGTTTGGGCCATGCGGCTGAGAGTTGGCACAGGGGCGGGGTAATCGAGCATGCTGATTACGAATACAGTATTAGTTTTTGAAATTATCCATTAGTTTTATCGCTTTTATCGATTTCTTTGCAGAGTTTGAGCTACGGGGCTGAAAGTTGGTACGGGGGGGGGGGTAATCGAACATGCTGATAACGAATATATTTTAATAGTTTTTGGAGCTATCCGTTAGTTTCTTCGATTTTATCATTTTTTGCAAAGTTTGAGCTACGAGGCTGGGAGTTGACACATGGATTGAGCACGTGCTATAAAGCATTTGTCGTCCCTATTGTAGAACATGCAGCCAGTTTAGAGCCCCTTTCTGAGGAAGCATAAGCAGGCCCTGGAGAACGTCCAGAAGGTTTTTACCCGCTTGCTTTTCTACAGATGTTATCCCAGTCGTGGTTATTCACGATCGCTTCCAAGCTATGGTGAACGATTGAAAGTGCTAGGTCTTAAAAGCCTTTTACACCGTAGGATTCTGCATGATATAATACTTGCTTTCAGGAATTTTAGAACGAGACTAAGCTAGGACCTTCTAAATATTGGGTGTTCAGGCCTAGTCATGGAAGGACCCTTTTTCTGTTTATTTACATCTAAATGGTGGGCGTAAACAATTAAGCTCCCTATCAGAAAACAGTTTTTTGCACGCACTTCGAAATATCTTCAGTGTTTACCTAAAGAAATTTTTTGTCTTCTCCAGATAGTCTCACTTTCAAACGAAGACTTAAGAAGTTAAATTTGACTGATTTTCTCGAAGAAGTTGAGTTTGAGTGATTTTCTTCCAAAGTACAGGCAGTGTCAACTACGTACTCCCCTTCGCATGGGAACAACGCATGCGCAACGCAAGGGCCTGCGTGTGGACCTCCAATCGATTAGGCTCATTTGCATGACGAGTCATACGCGCGCAAACGTGGCGCGAAGCTCATTGCATTGACGGAGAAGGGAGCACGTGATTGACACAGATTATACTACTTCTCGTCATCACTCGTATAGTGCCACCGTTGCCTACCAATCTTCCTACACTTGCTGCTTCGCGTGTTGCTTGGGCCAACCCCGATACTATGAAATTGACTAACTCTGCACTCCTAATCATCGCACAGAAGGTCTTCCAGTGATAGCCTTCTCATGTATCAAATTTGTGATCGTTGGACCTTTATATCACTTTTGTTCCGATTTTTACTTCGTCCACACGTTGGTTCGAATCTGGTTTACCCTTTTGTTGTTATTTGGGGATAGCTTGTCTGACCTGACATCTTTTTGCATCACAATCTTTTATTTGGAGTTCTGCTCTCTCCCCAGAACTTAGTCGGGCGAAATTTTATTATTACATCCTTTCCCCGCATACACAGTTGCTTGAGTTGAATGGTCTAAGAGCACTTTTGGTGCAAGCAGGGGGCATGAGATAGACTCCACCGAGCATCTGCACCGATTCGTACACGGTCTAACAGGCTTTACCCCATTCTACTCTCAGCACGGTGCTGGACTTGAACTTTTGTGGATGTTTTGTTTTTTCTTATTACTGTTTATGCTCTAATATTTTCGTCCTCTGTTTCAAATATGGCACGCCTTGTGCGTATTGAATAAATAAAATAAATAAATAGATGTTGATAACTAGCACAGCGGGAATAGGGAGTTGGAGTTGGTATGTAGAAGTGGGCACAAGGACAGGTTGTACAGGGATAGAGATGGTAGCTTCATCATAGCGTGTTTTGACAGGGCCGGGCGGAGCCGGGTAAGCCAGCTAGTATTGTATAACAAGGTCTTTAGCATAGAAAAATACTGCTACTCTTTCACTCTAATGAAAAATGGGATTTTGTGTCTTTCCTTAACAGAAAAATTGAATATCCTGCACACACTTTCCATCTGTTCCACAACGAAGAAATCTCTCTTAAACGCCAGACTTTCGCACTGTAATACACGAAATGTTGTCTACCAACATGCTATGAAATGAACAGAGCTCATAAAAGAGTAAAATAATTGCACAGCTGTAGTGTAGGGAGAGTAGAGAGTAGTAGAGAGTTTCTCATTCAAAAGTTTTTGCAACAAAAAGTAGATCTTTGCAAGTTTATTGTTACTGTGAAATCATTGTGCGGTAAGGGTACTAGGCAAGCGCGCTATTAGCTCATGACTACCGCAAGCCTTACAGTATAATCTTGATCATCTTGCTAGTCCAATCTTATCAGATCAATCTTAGCTGCCCATTAGAAAAGCTGTCTTCAAAATAGCGTCAACTATTGCAAAATCTGATGTCAAGTATGGCATAGTTCCCTCTTTTCTTTTCTATCTCTTTGTTGTGTGCTTGTTTACGTTCCAATCGTCAATGTTTCTCTGTTCTGCATCGACTCCTCTTTCTATCCTCGTAGTTCTATATCTGTCTGTACCTTTTCCTTTGCTCTTCTTTCTTTTCAAGGTTCAGCACCAGCTGGAATAAAGGAGATTTTAAAACGAAGCCCTCCTTGACTTCAAGGAATTCTTACGAAAGCTCCTTTGACCTTCACCGTCCCCAAGTACATCTCATTTTTCTCTTGACTGTGCCTTCGCTCATACCAAAATAAATCTTATAAGGCTGATCACTCCTTTACTATTTACCAAACAGAAAATCCAAGAATTCTTCTTCATTACTCTCCGCATCATGCGCCGATCGCGTTTTGCTTGATGGTCGGAGTCTCAACCTACCTGTCCAGCCCTTGTCTTGTCCCCTCCACATCTCCCCTATTCATTTCCCAGACATTTCCTGCTCGTCTCCCCACTCCGTACACCTCCCTCTTCCCCCCTGAGAATGATTACAGATATGTCCAGGGCGTCCCAAAAAGATGTGCCTACTGTTTGATTGTAAATAACTTCTTTTAATGAATTCTTTCAATGAACTTCTTCTTCTAATGAATGATGTTTCGAGAAGCTTTAGGTACCGTTTTGTAGCGAGGTTGAACTTTGATTTACAGCATTGAGCGAATCATCGATCGCTCTTCATTACTGTAGGGTTACGGTAAGAACTTCCAGCATATGGAACCAATGTGTTACGAGTATTTTCAGCTTTTTTGACGGTGTAATTACATTTCTGACAAATGCTGGAATTGAATTATTACGATTTACCGGGGATATCTTTGGAAAGAAGCATCACAGTAAAATGGGAATTTCAAATTCGAAATCAGCGGTTGGGTAGTATAAAAGTTTTTGGCTTGCTCGGTTCTGTACCAAGGCAGAATATATTATCCAATGGCCTAAAATCCTTGTCGAAGTTCGTACCGTAATCATACAATAATGAAGAGCGATCGATGATTCGCACATACTGTCGATCAAAGTTCAAACTCGCTCTACAAAAAGGTTTCTAAAGCTTCTTGAAACATTTCAATACAAGAGAGTTATTTACAATTAAACAGTAGGCACATCTTTTTGGAACACCCTGTAACAAGAAAGAACATAAAAACAAAAGGAAATAGAAAGTCAAGCATAACCAAAGCTAAGTAGGTCAATGAAGAGATTTCCAAGGCTATAAAAAAGCCTAGAATAAAGATTGTGAAATGGTTTCTTGCTCGTATGAAAACTTTCACAGTGAAGATACAATATATACTCGAAAAACGCGAAAAGTTAAGTGAGCAAAGGGTCCCAGCTAAATTAGGAAAAAGTTCATCACGGCTTTCATTCATGTAAGTAAATATTTGGGTCTTTATTCGAGTTTCCTCGCATGCGCGCAGCAAGTTTATGTCATACCATTGTGTTTTGTTTGTATTTAGACAACGCTTTACTGGTGTAGGTTAGAGTATGCCGGTTGCATGCCGCAAGCATGTCTGCGGCATATTAACGGCATGCTTGAGGCTCTTATCCGCAAATCTCGCAAAAAACAATATTCCCATTGCTTCCCCCCCCCCTCCCTTCAGAAACGATTCTAGCTTGACCCTGTTCCAGCTCTGGGCCCTGTTTCTTTTTGTTTCTTTCTACTATTTTTAGAGTGCAGTACCGCTGCTTCACGAACACTTAAACACCAAGCGGTTTGCTTATGAGGTAGATCAAAAATAATTATGGAGCGGAAGTATCTTCGCTTTACGCAACACTTCTTCAAGAATCTTCATTCAATAACAGAAAGAAACTTTCTGGAAAGATATGAGCATAGGAATAAACTTCTGAAAGGTCGAAAACTTGAGTGCAGTGTGCTCCATTGAGAGGAAACGGCGATGGCCTTGCTTGTTGTTTATGAGTACAAACGGCTGGTAAACCTGTAAATGTAATTTTCATGGAAAAAATTAGAAGCCCTCTATGCTGCGCGTAAATCTTCGTTTTTTTGACATTTAATTTTTGCACCAGAATCTAAAGTCTACAAAGTCAAAAATCAAAATGGTATGATACCTGTTGTATCTGTTGGCATAGTCGTAATTCCCACGACTAAGAGATGATGATAGATTCATCTCCTTCTCTCGCCGTGAAGCCCATGTGGCTGGTGAGAGCCAGTACTGTAAGAAGAACGGATTTAAAGATTTTCAAGAAGGTGTATTCTCATACTTATCTACTACTCTCTATCTACTTACTTATAGATTTACGTTCCAAACTCTTAATCAAAGTAATTAATTACCCACCTTCGACAAGGTCCCAACAGTCATGCACCGCTTTTTATACATATCGACAGCATCGTCGAGAGGCATATAACTGAATCAGTCCTTTCAGACGTTACAGAATTTTAGGAAAATAAAACTTACCGTATATAGCTTCTCTGAGGCGTATAAGCACGTTCGAGATGTGAGTTATAAACAGGCCTTTGGAATTGTGATGGATTATAGGAGGTCAATTTACCCTCTAACCATCTTTTTGTACCAATGTCTCGAATGGCGGAGGTACGAGAGTACGCCTGCAAAAGATGATTAAAGAGATTTGTGTCGTGATATTCACGGCCATCAAAACTTCGAAGTAGAACGAAAAGAATAAGAATGTAATTTGAATATCTATTGCACATTTGGCGCTGAGAATTTGACGATTTATTGCTGTTTTCTGGGCTCAAATTTTTATACCGCAGAATCTCTTGGGATGTGGAAAATGGAAGTAACTTAATTTTGTCGAGACTATCGCCAACGTAATAATGAATAAAATTGGAATGAGAACGTTTCTAAATGTGACTATAACTACAAGTAAAGATGTTTCTTTGAGAACACTAAACATCATCACTTCGTTCAGTTATTTCCTTAGACGGAGTTTAAAATGAGTTCTAGGTCTTCCCCGGAACTCCTCAGTAAGGAAGGAAGACCTAGACATGTGCTTATTCGTTAATTTTGTATGTTTATAAAAATATTCAGTTTAGTGAGCTTCTTATTACTATTGTTGTAAAAATTAATTTGAATTATTAAATTATCAAATTTGTTTTATTACCATTGCTGTAGAGTTAAAGGCAGCGGCTCGGCAGATTGACCCACCTTAGATTTTGACACAGATGGATAGGAGGTCCTCCAAGTGAACCCAAAACAGCAACTCCACTCCGAAAATGTGAACTCTGCAAGCTAGGGGGGCGGCCCAAGCGCCGCTCCCCTTCCTCCTTTCGCTCCCCTAACACCTTGTTCGGACGAGTATTCTCCGCTAGACGGCGCGGGACCTCCTAACCGCTTCCCCGCATTGTGCATGCTATACAAAGCCAAAATTACAGGCAGCAGGGTCTTCGTGCCAGGGCCTCCCGACTTCCCTTTGAAATTCTGGTCCGAGCTGCTTTTTGGAGATTGAAAAAAATGCCCCGAAAAAGGCCTTTTCACCCCTTTTAAAGCTCACGGGATTTACGGGTCGAGAAGGCCCAAAACATGCAAAAAGATGGAAATGCAAAATCTGGCAAGACGCTGCCTTTAAGCTGTGGAGTACTTACTTACTTATGTTTATATTTTATAATTTATCCTTGGTTCATTTCATTTTCAACAGAGAAACAGTGGGTAAAACAGAACATTGTGTTCGAATTATTATCACTGTAGATGTTTAATATATACTAGACATTTTACGTAATTCTAGAATCAATTCAATTTGCTGTTCTCGAATAGATTATATTCATAAAGTATAAAATTCATTCTTTTTTAATCGTGTGAATATACTAAATGTAATTGTAGTAATACCATAGCCGTTTTTAATACATGTATATTCGAGTTGTAATTTTCGAACTAGGAAGTCTTCAAAGAGGAAACATGTACATGCTAATCTTAATGTTTCTGTGTATATCATTGCTCTTTTGAAATTTTTAGATAAGGAAGAAGTAGAATGAAGGAATTTTATAGAGCACATGAACCCTTCTCGTCAAACATTAGAGCTTCACCTCACTAAACTTCTAGTATCGTGCAGAATTTGGGAGTTGGAAACGGAAAAAGCTTCGTTTTACAGAGCTAATATTCTAGGTAAACTAGCCACTTTAAGTACTATCTAGTAGAAGCACATGACGTGAACGATTTTATGACTGATCTAAGCTACTCTCAGAAAATTCGAACCCCGAACCACTGCAAAAGTTCATAGGAAAAGTGGAAAAGTGTTATCACAACGAGTAAGGAGACGCCGCTAAGTTTCCAAAGGTACGACTCATCCTTAAAAAAGTGATTTGATCTATTCTGGCTCTTTTGAATTTCCGAAAATCAATCGCCTCCCAAAAATTTAAGAAACATCTGCGCCAATGAGCCGATGTGTTTCATCAAATGCTATCGTGACGTCCCTCCGTGTGTTTACTTTATCCCTGGGTGACAGTTGTCACTCAGTGTGCGCATTTTTTTCATTGTTGAGAAGTTCGAATAATTCACTAGCGCTTAGTTCAAGCATCGAAATTCAGCTCACATAGCACTGGTGGATGCAGGAGGCTGAAGAAGGGGGTGGAGGGGGAGAGGGACGGGAAGGGGAGGGGAAATTAAATTTTTCAAAGTAAATTTTTCGATAACGAGCAATTGTAAAGATTCATCCAATCTTTACCGTTATGATGGGAGAGTTGAATAATTTCAAAACAAGCTAATTCTACATATGTTTTGATGGTTGCAATAACCATAACACACATCTGTATGGAATCACCGGTAGAAGGAAAAAAACAAACAATATGGAACTCAGCCAATATGAGCTTTGTTCATTATAGTCAATATTTGAGCATTAGTACGGTGCTTTTGCGTTGCCAACAACATTTGCGCGTAAAAAAAGCTTCTGAGTGGATATCTCCACAATTTTCGCGTCACATGGCCATTTTTATGGGCAAATTTTGTCGACAACGCAAAGACTGCGTCACTTTGGAATATACTAGAACGGATGTCGTTACTTTCTATGTGGGATTTTTCGCAAAGTTTTTGAAGAAATTTTGTGAACAATTTATAGTTTGCTATTAAAAATATCTGAAACTCACTGATTCGGATTGTGTTTTGATGCCTAGGGCAGTGTCCGTGTTCCCGTAACTATACCGTACATAAGGGTATCTGAAAGACGCACAACATTTTTTTATACCATGTTGGGAATTCCAAGAAAAATGTCCGCACTTGTCCGTAAAATGTGGTGTACTTAGCTGTACTCCGACATTATGCAATGGTGACGTTTTTGTTAGAGCTGTTGCCGCCAGAGAACGACCGAACAATGAAGATCCTTAACGATAGCGATAACTCATCAGAATGACGAAAATTTACACCACATCCTTGTTTTTCTACTTTTGTTTTTTGTACATCACAACACTTTCATACGTGGGCGTGTGGAGTTCCGCAAAGTGTCAGACACAAACGTACATTTGCACACTGATCTCTCTGTGCTGGACATAGACAAGCCGATGAATTCTCTCAGTTACGACGCCAACTGTGTAAAGCGCGAAAAAATACAGCGCTATGTGAACGAAGCCATGAGCAATGGATTATCGATCGATATTGACCGATCATTGTTCATGCAGATGTTATTGTCGAACACCACAGTTCACAGTAGAAATCTTTACTACACGAACAAGTTGTCGAACCCATAATGCAGAAGCACACCGTATCAATTGTACAACATTGGTTGTTATTTACAGATATTAGCATTAGCAAAGGGAGTGCAAGCGATAAATTCCGAGGAAAAAATCATGCAGTATCAGTCGATAAGGACAATCCCACAAATTCACGGCAGCAAAAATCATGAAGGAGATAAAAAATCTCAACAAAAATTCAAATCTGTGATTTTGTGCTAAATATGTCAACGAATTTGGAGCCGACAAGAGCAATTTAACTGCAAATCTAGATCTTTATCTATTGATTTTTCTAGGGCATCAATCTTATAATTTAGAATTATTTGAGATTTGAAAAACAACAGACTATTGCCTATTCTTTATTTTTGGCAGATTTCGAATCACTGTTCCTTTTTACGAATTTTTGAAAGGCACGACAAATCAAAATTTTAGCTTTCGGATGCAACAGTTCAAAAACTTCTTGGTCTAAAAAATTTAGAATTCGGTTTAAGGACAAATATCCTCTTGAATTGCTCCAAAGATATGGTTATCTCTTCTCAAATACTCCATCAAATTTATTCCTAACCTCCTCCTCTTCGATCTTCTAGATTAAACAGAAAACGCGAAACGTTAACAGATTTCAGATGGCGAGAAGCTCAGAGAAAATTCGTCCTCTAAACAGCATTTTTTAAATTCTTGTAACTCAATTAGATGAATCCGAACAATAGAAACTGGATTAAATCACATAGATAGTGACTAGAAAAGCCGGTAAATCTAGCTTTTGCTATTAAGATGGGTTGAATAAAATAATTTTTTTCCACAATTTCGACTTTTATCACATCTGTAACCTTTCAGTATTTGTGAACTCGAAAGTTACACGTTTCGACTGATGATGTCTCAAATGTTCAACATGATTTTCAGAATAAGTTCGGAGAAATCCTGGGATCTGCTTAGCTAACGCTAATAAGGCAAGACCTGTGCTGAGAAAGTGGGCTGAGCTCTCAAGCTACCCAAATAATGACCAAAAGTCCGACGGCACCGAGAAACACGGACAAAGCGGTGAAAACAGTGTTGAATTCAAACTCGTGCACATCGAATAGACCCGTACCACTTCGGCTTAAACTTCTAGCCATATAACCGCCACCGTAACCATAACTGGGACGATATCGAGTCATTGACGGGCTATAGGAAAGTGATCCAGTTCCGGAGAATGAACTTGACCTGAAATAATTCCTTGAAATTGATTTTTAGGCTTTTCGAAAGGTTTGTAGTCACCTTTTCATTGATGTCGAGCGTACATCGCTTCTTGATCTGGCTAATGGTGAAATAAAATGATAACTCGGTGAGCTAAGTAGCTCCATCGTCGTCGATCGTTCTGGAATCGCGGATCAGCGGTGAGCCGCACACCGGGCACGAAAAATACGACGGCGGGGGGGGGGGGGGGGTCGAGCAATGCTGGTGTCGTGGTGCTCTGGTAAAATCGAAACAGATGACTGAGCCTTCACAGCTCGATCATCACGCCCACCGATCGGCCAGTGGGACTCTAAGGAGGAAGCAAACAAATCTTGTGGACATTTGTGAAAGAAAAGTTACCTATCAAAAATCAATTTTATCGCTCACAAATTAAAAAGAATCAAATAGAATTGATTAGCTCAAAGCTAGGAAATAAAAGGTCCACAGATAGTCTGAAATATCCATAACACCTCCCCCTCCCCTCCCTACCCTCCCCCCTCCCCTGTAATCCATAGAGCAAAAAAAAAACGAAGTGCAAGTGCGATACGTTAAGCGAAATGAGTTTTCTGCGAATATGTCCCAGTTGCCCGAGCCGAGTCGCCATCGGCATTTTTACACAACGCCCGCCGAGGAAAACGAGCGCACAAGCGAAAAAGAGCGTATGCGGCTTGATGTAAAATTGCCATCAAGCCAGTTTATGGCATAAGCTGTTCAGGTAGGAAAGACTCTCTCAATGCCAAAAATATTTTCTGAGAACCTCATTGTGAAAATAAAACCCTAAAACGCTGGAAGTTTGGGCTATACTTTTGAAGAATTGCTAAAAATACAATAGCAAATCATTTGCGTGACCACAAAAAAATTTAACAGCATCTGTTGGAAGCAATACTTGTTGGAAGGAAATTGTCCTTTAGCGCCTGATTTTCTGGAAACGAATTTCCTTTGAACTGTTAATTTTACAAAGCTTTTATCTGAAATCAACAGAAAAGTGCCCTTAGTTATCACACACAATGAGGGCTCGATAATATAGTTGACTGCAACGAATCGCCCGAATAACCGTAGGCTGAACGACCGCGAGCGTTCTTGCGAGCGGTCGTTCAGCCTACGGTGATTCGGGCTGCCTAGATGGAGTTGCCTTGCGGACTACTACTGGCACTCGCGCGCATGGGTCATGATGGCGCCAGTACTCGGCATCCCCGTTGCAGGCACGCTCATACCCTCGATACATAGAGCCACGTACTCTGATAACCTTCACTTTGAGGGCTATGGGGGGACACAACCTTCACCTGGGAAAAAACAGAAGTCATCCGGGGCTTCGCCCCGGATGTTATTATCCTGATTATATTGGAACGAATGTTAATGAAGCAAATATAAGGAATGATATCTTCAGCTTATCTCAGCGAAACCGAGAATTTGCGTTTCATAGCCTTTTTTGGCTTAAAAAAAGCTTTCCGTGGGATTTTCGCGAATTCAAAACAAAATTTCTAGTTAACCTCTCATTTGAACAAAATCGAGTTGCAGAAGTTTCGGAAAGCTATTGGAGTTAAATAAGAACGAGAAACTGCGCTTAAATTTACGCGGAGTCGCGAACGAAAACGCTGGTCTACTTCGTTAATGAGTGATTTTCAAAGCTTGGGACGTTGTCAGTTCTCCTCGTCCTGTCATGACGAACGTAGTGATATACAATGTTGCAGGGTTTCATTGAGACCCCGCGGAGATCTACGACCAGAGCCAAATACCCCGTCGCTCTGGTCTGTCTCCGCTGCTCGTCTGCGTCTCCGCGCGCTGCGCGCTACCTCGCTACCCCCACGCGGGCGCGGGCTTTTGACTGTGGTACCCTTTTCTTCGCTGATTCGAATCCAGTTTTAGCAAGCTATATATCATTTTGAAGCTCTTGATCTCTATTTTCACGCTGACAAGTTCCAGAACCACATTTTTTTAATTTGATCGAGAAATCCGGCAAAAATCTTATTTTCAAAAATTTCTTGTTTTTCTCCTAGTTTAACTATTTTCATGCGGTTTTTTCGTGCATTCTATAGATCATGCTTCTGTTCATAATGCAGAAAACCACCCAGCCCTTACATTCTCGATTATGGTGGAATTTTTTTCGAAGAATCGTGAAAAGCGCGTTTTTCTTTGCCTTCTTCTGTTTCAGTGCTTTCGCATCGATTTTTTTCCAGCTTGGGCGATTGTTGCTCAGAACAATAAGCGCAACAATCTAGACAGCGTCCCAGGAGACAGGAACGTCAATGTGGGAGTAAAAATTCAAAGGACGCATTAAAAATCAAAACCCCGTGTTGCGAATTGCTGGTTGGAGCGAAAACTTGCACTCTGAAAAGCCGCCAAATGAAAGATTTCAAGCCTCATTGCAGCGTTTTTATCCGGTTCTCAGCAGTTTCTTTACCTTTCCATATCTGTTTTATGTCATTTTCTCTTCTCTGATCATCTTCAAACAACCTTCACTATTTCTGTCGTCAAATGTTTAAACAACGTTCACTTTTGACGCCCTGTCTCTAGACTATCGAAGGTATGGGCACGCTTGCCTCGTTCATCCTATATGGACGATTTGGTGCAGTCGACTTTAGCAGCGGCTGAGTAATTCAGAGCCCATGATACGGCTTGGAGCAGGACTGCACCATCAGGACTGTACTTTTAACTAGGGAACGAAAGTCGCAGTGGCGATTCAGAAGGGAATGCCTATCGTTAGTTCGTCTTGTTGAGTTGAATCCAAATTCAACCTCCGTATCTGGTGTGCGACTTTCTAGAAGAAGTATGAGCCTGAAGTATGAGCATGGCAAAAGTGCAGTAGCACCGCCTTAAATTGCTGTTAAAAAGCACTTATTTATGTTACTGGTTAATGTACTGGTTACTGTTACTCGTTCAAGTGGAGACCCCACCACCCTCCCCTATCCCCCCTCCCATCCACACACGACGACGCAAATTGTCATTCCTGCCTTATCGATCCCATTCCCGCAAGAACCAAAATCTTCGTTTCAACAGGTTCGCCGGGTAAGCGCGCGAATTCAAACTTGCCCCGAAATAAACAAAAGACTTTGTTTACAGCGAAGAGAAAATGAAATGACACCAAAATTGGTGTGTAGATGGGCAGTGGGAAGCTAGTACTATGTGCAAAAAATTATGAAAAAATTATGTGAACTGAAGGCGTGGTAAACTTGAAGGCGTAGCAAACTTTTTTTTGAGTTAGGTGGCTTTACAGCCACCTGGACAGCCACCTGAGGTGGCTGTAAAAAGAAAAAGTCATAAATTTCCCTTCCTTCAATAATTTTTTTCATGTGTTTGACATAAAAACATTCTATATCAAAACCCTACACTGGATTGGGGTCATCCTAAACCCCGTCTTCCCCGCATAGTTACAGCCCTCCAAATATTTTGTATGGCGGCGGCAAGTCTGCTCCAAGCGCGCAAGGGTGCGCGCCGGGCACAGCATGCCTCCAATTCAGAGGATACGAACATTTTCAATTCTATTCCGTCTGTTCAATGTTTTCTTTATGTTTTGTTCCATAATTTCTGTTGTTCATTTTTATCCAGTCAGACAAATGACCGAACTTCCGCAGAGCGCTTGCAGAAGTTCCGCCGGGTCACCTGCGGAAGTTCCGTAAACGTGCTGCGGAAGTTCCGAAATAAGGTCCTGCGGAAGTTCCGAAGAATGCCAACCACAACAGCAAAAGAGAACACCGAAGCGAGATTTGAATCTCACTCTATTGACTGTGAGACCCCCTAGTATCCTCCACGCTACGGCTGACATGTTCGATAATGCACTCTAGTTGTTGGCGGGGCAACATCACGAAACAACACATTTAAAGTGCTGCGGAACTTCTGGCATTTTTCGAAATTTCCGCAGGATTTTGAAGATTCTGCGAAATTTCGGTTTTCAACCAGTTTGGCATGAAAATCCCGCGAATCCGATTTTCAAAGTTTTCATTTTCGCAATAGTGAACAAAATCCTGCTGAACTTCTGCAAATTTGGCTTATCCTGCGGAAGTTCCGGTGATTTGTCTGAGCATTTATGTTCGCGTCATACGTGATGTCGTGTTCTTGTGGCGAAGTCTACGGGAGCTTCGTTTTTGAAAAATTAAAAAAGCCATCTTATGCGGAGCCCTGCTGTAGGGACATTGCCTACAACTTCTCCCAGAGAATCTCGAGGCAAATATGGACTTGGAACATCAAGATGCATCTGATGATATGCATTTCAATTTAGTTTGCTACTACAATTTGGGCTCCTTCCCTTGTAAAGGGGTGTAAAAAAGGAAGGGAAAAGTATGGAGAGCACTTTACGTAGTAAAAAAGGAGCATCAGAACCACCCCAAAAATCAATCATATATGTTGTCGAAAAGTGATAGAATTTGGGACAGCTTTATTACCAAATACTGTAATCAAAATGCCACCATTTAGTAAAGAAAGCTATTTATTTCAAACTCCATAATCATTCCAGGTTTTTGATTTGTGACTATCATGATGTTCATTCTTCACTTCAATCATACATGGGAAGCTCGAATACTTGGGCCGGAGTAGTGGGTTGGCTATCAATCCTTGCAAATGCTAAATCATACATTTGGAAAGGTATGCCTCTAAGAGTTCAAATTCAACGCAGTTGATATAGCATCGACTTTCGATAAATCTCGGCATAGTTCATAAATAATTAATATTTATGAATGATATAATGCAGTTGATATATTTACTAGTTAATTGCTAAAAACGTGGGAGTTCTGATAAATTCTCGTCTAAACTTTGCTGGACATATCCACTATGCAATAAAGAAGCGCTACTCCAAATTATTTTTTTCGCATCCCTTACAGATAGAGCAATTTTGTTTGTACTTTTTGAGGCCTAGGTGATTCCACAACTAAGATGGTTGGAGGGCTCCGATGTAGCCTTGGGAGGATGGATGCCGTCTGTAGTGGAGTGTGGTGGCTCCTGATGTGTTATTAGAACACGTAAGCTATTAGAGCTTATTGAACGAGGCGGCGTGGCAGGAGTTCCCAAAGCCTAGCCGCTTCTCCTCGCAGGGGTACTTGACACCTCCAGAAATCCCTTAGAGGACATCACAACTTATCGGGGCCAAAGGGGCGCTCCGCCCATCACTCCTCCCTCTAGGTGCCCTCATTATGAATTGTGTACATGCACTGTAAGACTTGTATTGTTTTTGAAGATAATAGCAGAAATAGAGAAAAAATTTCAAGGGTGAAGGATCCGTAAATGAGTGCAGCTGAATTTCCAGCATTTCGAGTTACGTTTTAATCACGTTTTCGGATAAAATGACGCTTCAGCAGAAGTTATGAGTTTTCCAATCGCAGTATATAACAGAGAAGTTAGTCAATTACAGGCAAGTTCTAAAGCTC